CCCCCACCCTCCGTGCAAAACGGTGAAGAGACATACCAGGTTTGCATCAGACTATAAACGGTTATCAGTGGGGCCAGAGCGCCTTGAGACAAAGGCTCTTTGACAAGATAGCGGCAGATCGGTATGCGGGCAGCGCGGGGTCACGTCCACCATCGAAGCCAGGTTGAGTTCATCATGTACTCACCGGGAGCGTAGCCAACTCCCCACCACCAGGTCCAGGGCATGAAGGAGTGGTGGAAGATGTGGAGGAAGGTGATCTGGCCGCTCTTTTTTCTCAGTACGAAGAACATCTATCATTGGAGGGAGGAAAAAAAAAAAGAAAATAAAATTATACATACTTTTTTTTGGGGTCCCTTTTCTTTTTAAAAGGGTTTCTACACAAAACTTGACTATGACCCTCCACGTTTCTGCCGGTGGGAAATCAAATCAAATGTGTGACTTACGGTGTCCATGAGCTCAATGATTTTGGAGAACCAAAACAGCCAGGCCACTTCAACCATCTGAAGGGGAAAAACAAAAAAAGCAAAATCATGTCAGCGATCCATCTACATCATCGCTCACAAATGATTGACCGTAAGGCACAGGTGTCAAAGGCAAGGCCCGGGGGCCAGATCTGGCCCGCCACATCATTTTATGTGGCCCGTGAAAGCAAATCACGCATGTGAAATTCCATGATGCTTGCTAAAGTCTGAACCAAAATTTCAAATTGTCATATGTAATCCACAATAACAGTCATTATTCTTGACTTCTGACTTTAAAACGAGTTATTCATCAATTTGTTGTACGCTGTGTATTTAAGATGTGGAGGGGACGAAACATTTCTATGGTTTCCCAAAATTCATAACGGCCCTCCAAGGGAAACCGTTACTACAATGTGGCCCGCGATAAAAACGAGTTTGAAACCCCTGTCGTAAGGGATGGCACCGTATATCGATATTGTGATACGCCGTTAGCGGTATCGATACCAACGTGTCAAATATCGCAATTATGGCGGTCTTCTCCGTGTCGTGTCATGACCGCATAGACGAACAACCAATGAGAAGAGGTTTTATGACATACTACTGCACATTAAGAAGTCAACATTTTTATTTACCCGCCTTCTTGAACATAAAATAAAGAATCCGTTTCTAGTCATGTGATGTGATACAGCGAACTGTTTATTTGAAATTAAGTCACCGGGAAGCCATTTATTTTTTTTCAGGGTATTGTTAGCTTGAAATTAAACTCTTGGGATCATAGATCATGGCATATTTAGAGTTGAAACCAGAAATATCGGCACATTTCAAGGACTGTGACCCTCGTACACTTCGTTTCATGAATGTATAACTTCTTAAACACTGAGCAAGCGTGTTCGTCCGGGTTGTTCAGCTGTGCTTAGTATTTTTGTGAGAGGAGAGGGGGGGCTTTGCCTTTTCGGCACCTTTCACGCTGCGTCAACGGCAAGAGTGACTTTTGCGCAAATCGTGGATACGATCTATATTGCTGTTGTGGCAACATTTTCTTCATGACCAAAACAAACACCAAAGAATTGTCCTTCTCGGCGGGAGACTGCACAGCAGACAAGATCGGAGTCACACGGCAATTTCTGTCCCGTTTATGCTAAACATTGAACAATCACGAGGCCGCGTGCTACTTCACTGTGCGGAAAGACACATTCAAGTTGATTCGCAAAAACAAAACGAATAAATAATGCTGTGCTAGCATAGCGCAGGCAAAATGAGAGTCTGTGGCGAGACCTTTCCACACTCATTTTTGAAATCTGAAAATAAACACAAAAAAAACAATTTCTGTGCCATCTGTTTGGAAGGGCAACTCCAGAGGTTTTGAATGATCCACTCCCAAACTTTACGTACTGAAAACCATTGGAGATATAAGTCCGGCAGTCTCCGCCGCCTTTTACAGCTGTTGCCAACGGTGCACAAACCATTAAAGGGTATGCGAGCACCCAATTTAACGCCCGCTATTTGCGATCTTTGTAAATCAGGCCCATCATTTGTGATTCCAGCTATGGTAACTTGAATAGGTTGGGAAAAAAAAAATGCTGAACTTACTCTAAGTGCTTGAGGGCTGTTGGAAACATCGATTGCGTCACATCGCCAAGTGTACGTTGTGGCCCAGCCGGACATCAAGAACTAAAAAAAACACACACACACACACACACACACACACACACACACACACACACACACACACACACACAAAAAAAAAGGCAAGTTGAAATCATTGACAAAAAAAAAAAAAGTATGGCTTGAACGGAGAGGAGGATGAAAAGCAAGACTCACCTCGTAGACGATGTAAATCGACAGCGCCACCAATGCAAAGTTATAGACTATCATGGCCTCCTTGAGCTGGAAAGGCTTTCGATTGGCCATGATGCGAGGGCCCAGGTAGAGGACAAAGAACAGGTAGCACAGCAAAATGACAGTCATGGGAATAGGACTCTGCATCAGGAAATGATTCTTCACTCGAGGATCTGGTCAGGGAATAAAACAGTTCATTGGCAACTTTTTAAAATATTATCGGGGTGGAGGGGGAAGCTGAATGCCACCAAAATTTGCTGTACTGTCGGATGGTTGATTAGGGTTTAATTATTCTGCAGATTCCTCAGATTTAAAGAAACATTTTGACATAAAAATCAACAACAGGACGTTTCAAATTGACAGTGCAGAAAATGCACTTTTTTTTATGATTCAGTTACTGGTTTGGTCAGTGCCATCGGGGAATAGGCAAAAAAGTCAAATTAAAGCAGTTTTATTTTGATTCGGTACAATGATAATCTGCTTTCATCGAGGGCTATCTGAGAATATCGACTGTCAAAAGGTTGTTTCAAAGGATATGGACAATTTTATGTCTCTAAACGATTAACCAGTTACTAAAAATAATTTGCGATTAATTTGATCATCAATTCGTTGTCAAGTAATCGATTAGTTGAAACTTTATGTGAAAGGTGAATTAAAAAGGTAGCAAAAAAAAAAAAAAAAAAGACTGACCAATTCCTGCGACGAGGTAGTCATATATATCCATGGCATGTGAGCCAAACTCCTTCATCTCCTGCAGCATGTTTGCCGGTTTGTCGCCAGTTATCTGAAATAAAAAAGAGGGGGGAGAAAATAAAAGACAAAGTCAAAGTCAAATTCACCGAATCCCACCACAATCCCAAAATACAACCACATCGACTTCTTTTCCGGTTTCCTTATGACACTTATTTGTTACTTCCGCTTCTTTTGCAGAACCATGTGACATGCTTGGCATTTTACACAAGTTCACGCCTCATAAAAAAAAAAAAAAAAAAAAAAGGTGAATCATTCCTCAACACTGCAATTTCCACAGACATTAGGAAATTAAAGAGTAACCTCACTGAGGTGACGAGAATTTCCCAACATCTCAAATGTTGCTGCTATGAAGGGACATCACCAGAAAAATCATTTAAAAAAGCCTTTTGGACATTTTGGCACACACACAAAAAAAAAAAAAAAAAATGAAATGCAACTTTACCCAAGCCAAGTACTTCCTCAAAACAAACAACCCCAATGAAAATCCCAGGAGGCCCGGCTGTGCTCATGCGACATGGCCTGACATCAGACGAGGAGGGGCCACGAGGGAAATGGGACGGCTTGCCTCGCCCCGAGGCAAGCGGCGGCCATGCCGGCTGCTTCCTTACCTCTCAATCCCGACAGGCAAATTATTGAGGGCAAAACAGTAGTAAAAGTTCCTCGGCGAGCTTAAAGTCACCGCGGCCTTACTCACGCGGAATGAGTGCCGCCTACAAATACGGGGAAGCACGCGCACGGGAATGTTGCTAGTACTGTAAACCTCGACGGTTATGGGGACAGAACGGGGTGTGCTCTCCTTTGAAAAGTGGAGCCAGAGAGCGCCATTGTTTGATGTACAATCAACAATGACCGACCGCACAAGCGCGGCCCTCCTTGAGCCAATATCATTACAAGCCGATTCGTTGTGGCGAGGCGGGCAAACAAAGGCGGGTTCTGTATTGACAATAGATAAGCGTTAAGATTTCGATTTAAAAGCCCACAGCAACGCAGCCAGCACAAATGATTTCTTTGGAGCATTGGGCATCGATGAGTGAGGAAACAAAAAATATTTTTGCCCCCCTCATGTACAGTAGTGCCTCGAGATACGAGTAACCTGCTGGCTGTGAAATAAAATCAACTTACTTCAACAACAAGCACTGTTTGGCAGATAGTGAACACTTCCTCAAAAAGAAAGAAAAAAGAAATGAGAGGTTTCACGCTGTCTATTACTGTCAAACTACACATAAAACAAAGACTTACATCCTGTGAAACGCAAACAACCATAAAGCTTAACCATTCAGTCTGCTACCTTAACGCTAAGGCTAATTAGCATATAGGTTGCGGCATTATTATTTCGTTAAGTTAAAAAAAGTGAGCGTTAAAGTTAACTCACAACCTAAACATAAAACAAAAAGAATTACGCTATGTATTTAAAAACAACCGCACAGCCCTAATCAAGTCCGTTTAGCATAACGCTAATGATGCAAAACAGGCTAGCGATTAGCATCGGCGGTGCAGCGTTGTAACAGGAAACAGCGCATATTGGAACACACGCTGGAGATTTAACAAACCTCAAAGGCATGTATTCATTATCCTTTGCAAAGAAACGACTCTTACTACAGCTTAACGACTTTTTTTGGAAAGAAAACTTCCTCTACGTCTATCTGTACTATACTTCCCCTCAACTGGCCATTACACGTCAACAGAAGGAACCATGCAATGTCCATTGCATTGAGGCAAAAACTAATGAACATTCCAATTTAATTACGTCAACAATTGGTTATAAAATACACTAATATAGAGTGCTATTTTTCATATATCCAAGATACATTATAAAACATAAGCCAGAACGGATTAATAGCATTTCCTTTTCTGCGGGGAACCAAACTCGTATCACAAGGCACCAATGTATGATTTTTTTTTTTTTTTTTTTTTTAACCTTACAACAAAAAGCAAAAATTGAAAACAGGATATAGCTTGTCATTTCAAAAACGCGCCAGATGGTGTGCTCAAAAGCCAAGATGCTACCATACTTGACGCAGGAGTTGCCACTTTTCACCCATCTTGAACTTTGTACCACCTCTTTCAAATATCCAATAACATACAGAGTCGACCAACACACTTAAGAAACACTCAAGTCCGTCAGTTCTCTCGCCGACTCGTCGAAACTTACGCGGGCGGCAGTTTCGCCCGAGCGTTATCGCAAGTGGCGGTGTGTAGCATGACAACATCAGATAAATGACATTTCACAAAAACTCTTACACAAAACGCTGTGGCGGTTTTTGAGCAACGGCGAGGTATTTGGGGCGGGCGCCTCGCATTTCAGCAAGCGCACCCTCATGTCTGCGATGAGTGCAAACTTCAAGGTCTTGTTCTGAGGAAAAACGCTGCACAGTTAAGTCCACCAGATGATCAATCGTCATCTGGCCGAGGGGAAACACACCTAGGCTTTGAATGGTGGAGAAAACACACATACTGTCGAGGGTCGACTGAAAGGAAGGTGGAGCTCCTCCCTTAACTGGGACTTGTGATTTTTTTTTTTTTTTAGCAGCAATATGAGATTTGCTCTGCTGACTTATCTGAGCTTCGTTGAGTGGCCTAAAAAAAATCCCCCAAACATGACAACCGTAACCAGGAAAGGGAGAACCAACATGCGTGTCACCCCGAAACCCAGATAAAGATCAAAGTTGAAGGAAATTGAAATTAAACCTCCCGCCTCTGCACCTTGATGAAAACCATCAAACTTGCCATTGAGAACCAATTCAATTGCTCTTTTTTCCACTTTGTCCGTCACTTCAAGTCAACGCAAACGACACAGCACCACCAACTGTCCTCGCCTCCTTGACAAATAGCCTTACACACACACACACACTGAATTGTAAATGGAGTGACTTCAGCCAGATACAAAAAAAAAAATTTTAAATGGAAATAATGTTCCCACCAAGGACTCAAACTGACAAATAGGCTTTTCGCGATCAGGATTTTGAAGCTGATCAATGAAATAAAAGCAAACTCAAAAATAGTGGAGAAAGTCGTGTGTGTCAATGTGTTATTTTGCGGATCCGATCAATGACGTCATTGATTGAGCCACAAATTATGACATGACAACCCACCACCCAATTTTGCATGAAAAATTCAAAATCTCTTTCAATCTGGTCAATGTAAAGCCGACTTACATTCTCCTACAAAAGGAAAAAAAAAACCCAAAACAACATAACACGATACCAAGAATTGTGTCCTGCTTGTCGATGAAAAAAAAAAGATTCGATTCCTTTCATTAACTACCAATAAAATGTGATATTTTCTTCATTATAATCTCTTCTGAATGTTCTGAACTCCTGTTTCCATACCAATGTTGTACAGAGCGGATTAAGGCTGCCTGGAGGAGGTGTGACGCGGCACGGATGGAACTCAATTTGCCATTCTTTGACGTCATGTTGTTCTTCGAAAGCACGTTGAGAGTAAATCTCCTGGATTAAGCCAAGTAGCGCATCAAGAGATGCGACTGATCAGCAAATCAAAGTGCACACAATTGAGCCAATTCTCAACGATTAAATGAATTGATCAGAATCCTACTGACAATTGGCGACCCCAAAAAAAAGGAACCCATTTTGGGCAACAATTCCAACTTTAAGAAACGCTGAACCAGAAGATAAGAAATTTCTAATTGGGCAGGTTGTGTTCAGGTCTGTAGCCCCCCACAAAGTATCTCTGTAGCATTTCCAGTCAGTGCCTCAACCAAAAAGAAACAACACTACAACATTATAGTTGCGTTACGAATTTTTGCGTGGTTTGTTTGAGCGCAGCCTCCACAACCAAGTGGCGGTTTTACATCGAGTGAAGGAGACAAAGTGGAGCGTTTTCCTGTTCGGAGTCAATGAATCACAGGATGGAAAAAAAAAAAAAAGGGAAGAGTTAATGATGAACAAACAGTGAGAAGGGATGAGAGTTGGGGAGGAGTGTCAAAAAAAAAAAAAAAAGGGAACACCCAAAGTACAAAGTATCCATTTGCATGGGATAAAGGCCAAAAATCGGAACATCAAGCACCAGACTGAGAAGCAACTTCATGAAAATAAAATGAAAAAAACAGCAGCGCTCAAGCAAGACGCCGTACACACAAAGTGAGTTCTACTTCCAAGTGAATGACTTACCCAGCTGAAAAAAAGTGGACTTTCCAGCTTCGGGATAAACCTAAAGCCAGCGTTGAGCGAATCCTCTTCGGGAGCCCCTCTCTTGGAGAGAAGTGCGGCGCGAGTAGAAACTGCAGTTCGGTGAGGGAGAGATCGAGAGCATGTGTGTGGAAAAGAGGAGAGGGAAGGAGGGAATGAAGAAGGAGGGGAAAAAAAAAAACTATTTCAACCGACAGACGCGACTGGTACAGCCGTCTTCCGACTCTCCGCCCTCCCTGACTCACCCCGGTGGATGAATAACCCAGCACAGAAAACGGAAGAGGGAGTGAGAGAGGCTGAGAGCAACAGTCAAGGGAGGCAAGGTGTGTGCGGTTACGCCGGCGTCCGACCCTATTTAAACACACGCCATGCCAAATGAAACTGCCCGGTCTGAGACCACAGCCTGACTTTCAGCGCCCCCCCCTCCGCATCTCTCCTCCCACCACACAACGACTCTCCTGGCCACACCCTACACACACACACACACACACACACGGAAACCTGGCTCTCAAGTTGCCCTGTTTGTCCTCAACGGGGTGGGAGGTTAATATTATTCAGATAAAGCGAATCAATGGCGCCCGCTATCATGAAGGCCAACCATTGTTCTATTTTGTTGCGGCCTTTGCCCTACGTACTGGGGCTGAACAATTAATCAAAAACAAAAAAACAAACAAAAAAAAAAAATCGACCTCGCAGTGTAGCAGAATGCAATTTGGGGGGGGGGTGAAAGGGGGGGTGATTTTAAACATACGCATTGTAATTTTAAAACAATCACGTTAGATCAATGCTAACAAAAAAAATGCAAATTGTCATAAATTGGCTAAAATATAGCATAGAGGTTACGCGAACGGTGAAGCAACACACACGGATGGACAGTATAGATTCTTTATACCATGCCATATGTTATCGCAACCGATTGAGTGGCTTCAAGTAGTTTTGACTTTACTGTTACGACTTTGTCTGCCCTCTGGTGGCCAAGATGGGGGCACCAGAAGGAGCAGCACAATGAAATGAACTGAAGCATTAAGACTTTTTAAAAAAAAAAAATTCCATTTTACTTAATGTTATTACTGTATGTTTTTATCGAATACAATATTATAGGGTGCTATTTTCAGAACTAACTAATGATGTGTATTCCACATAACGCATTCTCAGAAAATATAATCGAATATAGGTGGCGTGCAACAGGAGGTTACAAGGAATTATATAAACACTACCATTATCGTTTTTTTTTTTTTTTTTTGTGTGTACATGTTTTCTGATTGTGCTGATGGACTTTGCAAAATTGCCAACACAAATAGAGCACATATTGGCTTTGTCAGAACGATCAACTCCATAGCTGGGCGCCATCGCCAACCGACCATGATGTTTATTCGAGGGCTGGTGAGCGCGGCCGATGATGACTCTCGATGACAACAGATGCCCAGCTACATGACTGGATAGCGCAATAATGCCTTAAAAGTCTTTGTGTGTGTGTGTGTGTGGGGGGGGGGGGCGGGACCTCACTACTCCTCATCAGGAGAGTAATTTCTTAAATCTGACTTCAACGCCACACCCTCGTGTTGTCAAGAGCCAAAATATGAAATAGTAGTAGTCGTGTCATAGAATAGCAATAGTGGCATTTTTTATTCATGACTCTTCTTTAGAAGAACTTAAATAGCCACCGTGGGGAACAATGCATGCAGAGGCATAGGAATTTCATTCTTAAGATCGCCTTGTGTCACTTTGGCGGCTCAGTTGTCGGTGCAGGGGAAAAAAAAATACGACGATTCAGAAAATGCTTGATACAGTACAACGGCGCTTACAGGTAAATACAGCTGGACTTGATAAAAAAAAAAAAAAAAACGTGCAGAGGTGCATTTGAGCATAGACCGACTGGGCTGGTTTGACTTGTCACTCAAGCCCCGTTGGGGTGCGGGTTTGCGGGTGGGTAGGTGGCGGTGGTGGTGGTTGAGTGGCAGCGGTCCAGCGCCCCTCCTCCAAATACCACAACACACCTGACAGCAAAATACATCATCGTTCTGTGCTGCAGTCGCTGACAGTACCGTTTCAGAAATGATTGTCATCTCGCCCCGTGAGGCCAACGCCTCTTTAAATGGGCGACCTTATAAGTGAAGGCCTGAAAGAGGAAGTAGAAATGCCATAGCGGTTTGCTTTCAAAGGTAGTTATGAAAGACCAGGACTCCAAAATATTTACTGTTGATTAACATTCCAAGTGTCATTATATTACTTTTGAAAAGGCTGAATTTCCACTTTCTACAGTGTTCCCCGTTCCTTGATTTTTAATCGACTGCTTATGGAATTGTAAGTTTCCACGAAGAGCTCGACGTTAGGTTAAAAAAAAAAAAAAAAAACTTTGACAAATCAGAATTCAGCGCGAGATCAATAAAGCTGCCTTCCCTGTGTAAACATAATCTCGGTAACATCTGCGCGACGTTTCATGATCTGTCAATGGTGTTTCACATAATATCTTTCGCATGAAGCTAGCAGACTTGACGAAATTAAATTGGAACATTTTGCTGTTTATTAAATATACAATGGTTAATTCTGTTTTACTTGATGCGTCAGTGGCTGGAATGGTTGCCAGACTTCTTGTGAAAAGTGGACAGTACAGCTGAGCCCCCCCAAAAAAAATAACATTAGCTTAGCGACTAGCATTAGCCTCTTGTGCTCGCAAGTAGCATGTCCCTTCTGATTGGTCAGTTTGGCAGGAGAGGAGTGAGATGGCGTTTGTGTAGGAGACATGTGATACAACAAGTTCAGGGTCAGTCAGGAGTGCTGCTTTAAAAATAAATAAATAACATTTTTTAAAAAAGATGATCATGTGATCGTGTTTTGAAAAAAAAAAAAAAAAGAAAAAAAACAAAACAATAAATCATTCAGCCCAACCCTCAAGGCCACAATGACCATATTTTGTCCGTTGCCACCACCGCCGCCGCAACCCAGATAAGCCACAAGATGCGGAACCCAGTAAAATTCCAGTAACAAGATGTATTGCAGATACACGTTTGCGTGCAACAATGCATCTCCATCTCCGGCGATAGTAACCCATCTATGACCTAATGTACAAATCACAGCATTGGGTGTGGTAGTTAAGAGACTTTTGAGTTCCTGCCATACTAATAACTATTGTCATAATTGCTTTACACTTAAAGCAAAACAACTCCATGATATTCAAAACATCACGGCGTGTGCTGCTAAAGCGCCGAGGCAGCGAGCGCAAACATTCATCGCCATTTTCCATGCCCGTGCGAGGAGTCTGACCTTGCTGTGGATGCACCATGTGAAATACTTGTGCTGAAGATGGAATCCATTTTGACCGGCAATGTCAGTGAGGTATTCATTTATCAACGTATTCATCAATGCATGTTACGGAGAATTGGGGGAAAACGAAATACGAGAAAACACTCACCATAGCGCAGCACTACGCTACATCAATGCCGAGCTACAACCACAATGACGAACAAGTTGTTCAATTAATACCTCAGTGTCAATCCAAATTTTAAAATGACCTTTGAACATTATAGTTGTAAAAATGAGAACCCACAGAGGTGGTTAGAGAGCTGGATCTCATCGTATGATGCAGTGAACAAATATATTATAACGGGTTGGTGGATGAGACTTGACAGGAATCATTGCAGTACAATTTTAGTGGATTCATCTCATGCATATTATCAGTTAAACATGCATGGGGATTTTTTTTTGAAAGAAATACTAAAATGTTTTATTTAAAAAATATATATACTTTACGAGTAGTATGACATGTTAGCTTAGACCACATGTATCAAACTCAAGGCCCGGGGGCCAGATGTGGCCCGCCAGATCATTTACAAGTGGCCCGCGAAAGCAAATCAAAGATGATAACTTCCATGATACTTGCTAAAATGTGTACCAAAATTTCAAATTTTCATATGTAATAAATCAGTGAGCATTTTCTTGTTACCAAACGCCTCATTACAGTTACTTAACAATAGTTGAATAAAACATTATTCTTGACTTCTTGATATAGTTTGTCATCACAGCCCACCAAGGGAAATGGTAATTATAATATGGCCCGCGACAAAAAAATGAGTTTGACACCCCTGGCCGAGACAAAGAACATTCGATATGTACCATAGGCCAAACTACATAAATAACAAACGTTCACGTGCGCGCATATTTTTGCGGAATATATGATGACATGACACCATCATTTGCACGTTTGTCAAAATTTCAGAAAACAATAGCAGTGTCACGGATGTACAAAAAAACCCCCAAAAAACATTTGATGTGGTGAACGCACACTCAAAAGTAATTATCGACCTGAAAACTCAATAAATCAAACCGGTGAGAGGACAAAACGCATTAAGGTGCCACCTGAGGCTAGCGAGGATGGAACCAAAGTCAAAATGAGCAGTAACAAGCTGGTGTCACTCGACGCTGCTCGCGAGTCAATGTCAACAAAACTTGCTCTGCCGCTTTTGTCGCTACGAGAAAAGAAATAAAGAAATACTACCTGCTCTCCCCCACCGGCTTCTACCGCAGCTATGTAATAAGACACAACATCACAAACGCTCTCTAATGTTTACAAAGAAGAGTTTGAAAATAATCCCTCTGCAAATTAGGGATGCTTTCGCGCACCAAGGTCAATACCATTCGACGTGTCATTTACAACAACTTATTAAAAGTGATGCATGTTGAATTTACAATAATTTCTTAAATGTGATGACAAAGTTCACAGTGAGTTCGATTTACTGCCACAGTTGGTTGCACAATTACCAGATGGACGGAATAAACAAATTTAAAAACACATTAAAAAAAAAAAATAAACCCCATAATAAACACAATAATCATTATTCAACGGGGTCTCAAATGCAAACCATCCAGGGCGAGCCAAAGCTCAAAACTGAATAAAATTACGTTCCGAGTATGCAAATGAAGTGCATTAACAGGACAGTGAGTACTCTGTACTCAAGTAGTTTACTATTACAGACCCCCGCCCCCCCGCCCCCTTACTGGAATGTCGCACTGCGAGCCATGTTCACCCTCCTTTGTTTCATGTTTTGGGTGAGGGTGGGTGCAAGGTGCCGCTGCTGCTGCGGGTGGGCGGTTGAGAGACAACCCCACCCCATCCCCCAACCTTGTTTGGAAAGGGGGTGACCCTTCACCTTTTTCCGGTCTCATTCTCCCAATTCCACACCTTCCCTCCCCTCCTCCACAGGTTTCTCCCTCTCTCTCTCTCCTATGATTCACATGACTGGAACTTTCCATCGACAACAAAGGTGCACTGCTGTATCCTTGTGAATGAGCTCATGCCCGATGGCGGAGAAACTGCCTTTCAGCAGGTGTGAGTCAATTTGCATGACGCCGATATCCAGCTGTTTGGAACTAAACCAAAAGCCGGAAACGTGTGGGCGAGGCTACCCTGCACAAAAAAAACATTTGGATGATCTCTCATCGTGTCTGTTTCAAGGGTATTTGGGATGGCGGCGGCTTGGGGGGAACGACTGCGGCTTTTAGTCGCGTTATGTTTGGTCGCTGTCTTGTCATTTCATAACACCCAAGAGAATATTTTTGCACATTCACTGATGCTAAATTGTCAAACAGTTTCTTTAAAATATTTTAAAGTTTATTTTTAAGGTCTTGTAGTTTGGACTTATGTCATTTTCTTTGTACGTGGAGTGTGGGGGGGGGGGATAAATTCTAGCAAAACGGACTCGATTTTGGCAATCAAGTGTGGCGTAAACATCCATCAGTACATCACAAATCTGAGTACAACAAAAATGCAAACAAATCCGTGGCTTTATCGCTTCAACTGTCCATGTTTCATGCAACGATGATATGTAAACATGTGGGATTGCCCTTCTTAGACGGCAAGTCTAAAAAATGTTCTTTACAATATGTTGTAATCAGAGCTCTTTTTTTTTTAATAAAATGAGAAAACTAAATAAATAAAGGACTTTATCACCCCTCATTTATTTTCAAACAACGTTCTTGTGTCCATTCTATGCCAGCGACGTACAGTGGCAGGCAGAATAATTAAATGCCCTTCCATTAGTAGAAAGCAGAAGGTACATAATTGACCTGTGTATCCACTTTTTGTGATGTTTTTGTTTGGTGGTGTCCCTTGAGATTTTTTTTTTCATGTCAAGCATGTGCCTTGGCTCAACAAAATTTGACTGCACAATTAGAACAACATATGACATTTAGTTTTAAAAAGTCAACGCTTCAATAAGTAAGAATATTGGCTGTCACTGGTGATGAGCTGCTCTTTTCTTTTCTGAAGGGACTTCTGAGCAGGGTGCAATATGATTGGCTGCTTGCGGGGGGATTAAAGGGCGCCTCTTTGGCATTAATTGCCTCCAATTAACATTTTTTTCTCCTCCTCTGTACAGAGAGGAGAGGGAGGGAGCAAGGCCAAGTACTGCAAAACACAGATGCCTTTTTGCTCCGGGAGGAGGAAAAAAAAAAAGTGGGTACCAGCAGGTACTAGTTAGCCCCAAGGGCAACATGAGTAGCCCATGGGTCTGTGCTAAAGCTAGCTCATCAGTGTGGGCCACTGTTAAAACACAAGCATGTTGAATGGCATTTAATCATTTATCTATTTAAACTTATCATGACACACATTTGCGTACTAAATTCTGTTTAAAAATAGAGTTCAGTCAAGGGGAAAAATGCGGTTTATTTATCCAAACAATTTAAAAAACAAGTTAATTTTAGAATTGTAATTTTAAAACGGTGATACCGCAAAATTTCTGCTTGCGGTTATCATACTGTCGGAATCTAATATTGCATCATGCCTACTTGACACATTCTGAAAATGAGACGTTTTAGTACCTGGAAAGGCAAGAGCCTTGTTAAATTTGTATAAATGTGACCGTACCTTTTCCACAACCAAAAAGGTGGAGGTATGTTCTCAAACTTTGAAAAGTATGTGTCAAGGGTACACACATGACAACTGTAACCCTGAAGCTAAAACAATACATTACTTTTTTCCAAGAACACCCAACTCATTAGACAACAAACGGGGGGAAAGTGCAAACCTAACCTGGTTGACTCGTCGGATTACGCAAGGCTCTTGGTATGACTCAAACAACATTCGTCATGTCTTCGCTTTAAGTGTACACTGCGCTTTAAGCAAGGTGAACTTTGATCTAATTTCCAAATAAAAATTGCTTAAAAAAAATAAATAAAAAAGATCTCATGATTTTATCACATGACAATTTTGCACCGCAGAAAGTCCTCCCTTTGTGAAATAACTTTTGGGTTCAGCAGCCCCAAAACGAGAAGTAATAAACACGCAAAGCCATTTTGTGGGTCATGTCTGCCAAGATGAAAAAAACATTAGGTTTGTACAGCTATTGTGAGTTCCTGGCTGGAAGTACTTAATCTCCCCCTCCAATGTGTTTACACAACAACAGGTTTAACAACATACAAGTAGGCATGGGCATAGACCGAAATACAATGACAGTAACAGAGTTGGTATTGAGCTTAGTGTAGCGAAGCCTAAAGCCTAGTCTCTCTCATTTGTAAATGACTATTTGTTATGTACTCTGCGTAATACAGGACACGTGACAAACTCAAGGGCGACAGATCCGGCCTGCCACATCATTTATTTATTTTTATTTTTTTTGTGACTCACTAAGGAAAATAAAGTCAAGTCTCCTGCCACTCAAAATGTATTTGTGTCTTGATACTTGTTTAAATGCATAGTAATGGAATTACTGGAGTCCCACAAGGAGCTGTTCTAAGGTTACGCCAATCTGAATAGAATCAGGGCTGCACCAGACTGTAACCACATCAAGGTATTATATTGGGATACCTTTATTCCAAAAATAAAAACATTAAAATTGTTGAGACGAGTGGGTTGTGCTCTCTTTTTTTGTTCTTAATGCATTGCCGAGGTATCGTGGGATCGGGACACGGTTTTAACAGATGCTTCAAATTAAGTAACTGATTCTGAGCTGGTTGCTAGCTAGCTAGCTAGCTAAATAAATAAATAAATGTGTGATTCGTTCTTTGCCACCTACTGTTTTATCATGAAATTGTTGAAAGACTAAGGAGGAGAAAAAAAAAAGCATAAAGTCTCAAATTGGCTCCAGTTGACTGCAGACTTTTCCCTTGTCAACAATTTGCAAAGGACTCAACAGGCCTGAGTCAACACGCGCCTCCTCCACTGGTCTGACTTCCTGTCACAGGAAATTAAATCAAAGCTGTATTGACAGGGTCCTAAAAAAGTCTCAAAGTTTAGCGGCAAAAAAATTACAATTACAGCAATGTAAAATGGCTCCCCCCTCGGTCATTTTCAAGCCATTTGTCCGATATGGCGTGCTCACCGGTTATGAGCTTGCGTAATTGCTGACAGTCCAGACTTAATTCAAAAGGTGTGCTTCATAGATTTGTTTACACTGCTGCTTAATTCTCAAATGAGGATCAGGAGGAGACTCCTCTCTCTCTTGCTCTCTCTCTCTCTCTCTATTTTTTTTTAAATTAACTGGCTTTTTCAGTGCATCTTTGCTGATGTGCACTACTTGCACTCACAACATGACTGTGATCAAAGAGGAGCTAGTCTGCAAAAGTACAGTCAGGACTGCCAACTTAATGACTTTCTGTCTATGCCTATTAAAACTCAATGTAAAAATAAATAAATAAATAAACCAGATCGAGTTTCAACCTTAACTCACCATACAGTCCTTCGTTGCATATTTGGGCCTGCTACTTATTTATTTCTGGCAAAAACTGAAACCAACGTCAACTTCCAACAGTTGCGATAGTTTGCTATGTAAACTAAATGCTTTACATCATCAAACACCACAGGCAATACACGATGCAAAACTTGAAAATACGCCCATTTTTAAACAAAAAAATTTGCAGGATTTGAACTACTTCCAAACGATGTGAAAAAATAGGGTTTTAAGGACATGAGGTAAGAGGGGTGGAAAAAATAGTTACGACAATCACTTTCTGAAATCGAAATCAAAAATCAATTTTCTCCAAAATATATACTCACGTTGACAAGCAACAAAATACCATACAATGAAGTTATCAGTACTGTAAATGTGCCATTTCCTTCTAAGGTATCTCGATGTATTTTAAAAGGAAAGTCAAGTCAAAAATAATTGTTACAATCATATGTTCTGTGCGGCATTCTGTTTAATACTGCGTTTGTGGAATACGAATTAAGGAGGAAAATCCACCAATTATTATGTATTCAATTTGCCATTTGCTGTCAATCGAAAATGACATTACAGTTGCTCACGGCTCAGGTAACAACCAGTCACGGCTCAGCTTGCGAACATCACATGACCCAACTCCAAACAGGTTAAAATGGAACCATTCAAATCACTTCGATATGATGCACTAGCATCTTTAAAAAAATACAAATAAAAATCTGATTCAGAGCAGTTTTTGTTCCCCCCTAATAACTACTAACTAGTTTTGATATCAGAAGCCAGTTAAAAAAAAAAAGTTTGTTCTTGTTATTTTCAATTTATTTTGAAAGGAGGGTTGGTCATCCCCCACCCCACCCAAAAATGCTTGCAATATCTTAATGTCATTAAAAGTCAAAAAGCCAATTTGCAATTTGGGGTATTTTAACGAGGAACATGAAGTCAATGTACATCATTTGCCTCGGTGGACCGAATCTGCCTGGGGGCCTTGAGTTTGACACCTGTACACTCGTGGCATGTTACAAACTCACTGCATGACTACAGTTCAATTGAATTTAACTTTAAAAGTTCGATATATTTGCTTTAATCTTTTAATAGCAATATGTACTCCATAATACCATTTTTAATAGCTTCTTTTTGATGGTTTCACTAGAGACTGCAATATACTACACTTACTATGAACCAAACCTGTACACACCGTTGAGATGGACGCAACTTATTTCAACCGACTAGTGACAATAAAGAGGGCGTCAATAAACTGGTTGTGAGCAGCAACAGGTACAAACCGATGACGACGGGCGATGGTACAAAGCACAATCGATGTCACACATTACAGCCACAAAATCCCAAAATGCTTTAACATTCACACCAAGCAAAATAACAAACACATTAAACAGCAAGTTTAAGCAAGTGAATACGGCGCTGCTTACAACTGGTCGGGCGGAGATGTAATTGCACTTAACTCGGAACGTGGACATTTAGGAAGTCTTTTCATGACTTGTTAAGAACTCACTCACTTTTTGGGGGGTGGGCACAGGGTCAGATAAAGCCAGCGGAGACTGTCGAAACTAATGTGGGCCGACGCGTGTGTCAAGTAGTCTCAACCTGTTCATTTCCGCATCAATCTTTGCAGCCGGGGAAGAAGCAAAATGCATTTGAAGGCACTCAGAAAAAGGTGGAGTCAAACTCACTGACGCTCTTTTTTTGAGTCGCCCCTTTTTAACGTCATCAACTGACAACTTCACTGCCAAACGAATATGTCACAAAAAGTAGCGACGCTCAATTCATGGTTCAGGTGACATTGGGAATTATGACATATGATCTAATTCTAGTACATTCTTTGTCCTCATTAGTAATACAGTTTAGCACTAGTAGGGCTGTGCACTTCTGGTGCCCTAGACAAGAACAAGAAAAAAAAAACAAATAAATAGGATGATAGATTAGCAATGAGATCTTTTTATTAGATAATTGACATCAAAAGTCTGCTACCAATGGAGGTGGGGGGCGGTATTAGGGACATTCCCAAATCCTAACGAGTCTCCAGTTGTGTAACTGCTATGGATCAATATCAGCTGACTGTCAAGGACCCCCAACAAGCCACCACCAGCCAAATGCAGCAAGGGGCCGAATCGAAAGTCTACCTCACAGCTCTGGATTTATTTGCCCTACAATTGTCTGGCGACCAATACAAGGTGTAACCTGATTCTCATCAAGTCAGCTAGGACAGGCGAACAATTTACCCTGACATTTTCAATTCACTGTTGTCATTTATGAGGGAGGACATTTCATCTGTGCTGTATACATTTGACAATAAAGTTGTACTTGATACTTGATACAAATGCCCGTAAAATGAAGCAAGTAGCCTAAGTGTCAAAGTCATTTGAATGAAGTCATAATTAAAATCAACACATAATTGGAGCAAGCCCTCCAATTGGTTAATGTTACTAAATGCATTGCATCATTGCCTGTGGGTGCACTACAACACCCACAGTCTCAAAGCAATACGAGCAAGATTTTGTTATTGTTGATGGCGCAATTTCCTAATAAATTGGCGAGAATTTTTTTTTTCTCTTTCAAATCATTGGCGTGAAAGCGATGACAAGTGCACAAGAATATGAATGGTTGGTAAGTGCAACGTTTTTTTTTTTTTTTTTTTTTTTTAAATAATGCCTTCATTTTGTGTCTTATATATGAACCAGCATCCCATGTATCGAGATATTTATTGAATCCACTTGAGATGCACACCAGGTATAAATTGGTCTAAATAAGCTTCAAGTTGCTTATGATTTTTGTGTTTCTTTTAATTTAAGTTTGGGCTTTGGAGAACTTTTATACACACATGCATCCACACGCAAATATATAGATAATGATATAAAGAGAGTCATCAGAAAATAACGTTTTGTATATATCGTTTCCCAAAACATGTATTTTAACATTGGACAATATAGCATTCTAACATGTGGTCAGGTAGGGCGATCTCAGCAAAAAAGGAAATATCTTGGGGGTCAAAAGTTTAACGAAATAAATTGAAATAAAATAAATATAAAATAATCGTCATTACAAATGCACTCCAATTAATCACCCTACCCTATGTTTGAACACAATGTCATGCTCTGCCTGTTGCCATAGAAGCCTCGAAAAGTGGGACAATCAACTCAACAGGGTGATCACCTAGCGGCTCGTTCTGGTTTAATTCAAAATCCCAGAACCTGCTCCGAAACGAGGATAAAAGCCTGCTTGTACTTGTCTGTCAAACAACATCTCAACCGGATGTCTAACAGAGATGCACTGTTTAACGAAGCTTTCGCACCACATGCTTGACATATTTAACACAGTTTAGTTGAAAGCAGCTGCTGCTCGAGATTGTTTTCACGACACCCCTTGCCTGCAAGGGACAAGTAAATTAAAGTTCAAGTTTAAGTTCAACTGCAGCATGACTTGAATGTCAGATTGGATGCTGACCTCCATGTGCTCTGCGACTGACTTGCGACCAGTTTGGGGTGTAACCGGCTCGCCCGATGTGAGCTGGAAGAGGCTCCAGCTCACCCTCAGCCTGTATGTAAACAAGCGAAAAAGAAAAATGAATTCATGAATTTATTGTCATGAATAGATATTTTCTTGAATGCATTAAAGTCAAAATATGCGTTTGATTCTGTGCAAAGGATTGGGCTGTCCTTAATTAACATGTCAGGCCGTGTGTTTTTACCACGCTTACCTTCGTAGTGCTTTCCCTGTCAGCCTGACAGCTGAGGCCCGACCTGTTCGACTTCCGCATGTGTCACATTTCTATCTTGCATGGCCTATGTCATGCATCCGCATTGCCCTGACAGCTCTTCGAATGAGATCATATAATTTTTCAATTGGCCTTTTTGAAGCGGAGTCATTACTGAAGTAAACAAGGTGAAGGTGATGCAACGGCCACCTTCCTGGAGTGAAATGCATTGCTTTAGAGGAGGCTGTGTAAGGATATGCATAACATTAATTATACAACGACTATATCTCAATAACTTCTACCTTAATAGCTTTTCTCATGTTGCAATCAGATGTTTTTTTTTTTTTTTAAGAGAAGTCAACTTCCAAATTTTCCTTATGCTAATATGTTCTATGTACCTCCACTATTCTAAACACGCCGTTTCTGATTAATATTGCATTTATGGAATATGAATTAAGCGGCAAAATCCACCCGTTTTTAGCCATCTCAGAAGGCGGCCATTTTGCCCCTCGCTGTTCACTGAAAATGACATCACAGTTACTCAGGGCTCAGGTAACAACCATTCATGGCTCAGCTTCAGAAACCAGGTGAACCGACTTCCCCTTTAAGTTTATTTTCTGGCCGAGTGAATTGATTAGTTATTTCTTGGCATTTGTAGTTTATGAATATCATCAATGGTGTGTGGGTTCCTTGAATGTACTTTATCTTTGACAGCACCCCAAAAGAAGAAATTCGTTGGAGTGAAGTTGGGTGGGGGATAAATAAATAAAAATACAGATGGTAAATAATCAAGAACTCTGTATAACTCTTGTGATAGAAAACTACTTTCCATCCCACTGTATATTTAATCTGTTTTGTAATTATTAACAATTTAATTATAATTTTTTGCCACAACCACATTAATAACATTTTGGTGTCCGAGCACCAAAAAGTTGTTCCATATACAACTGTTTTACCGAAGCAAACTTTGCAAGAGGTAGCACAAACAAAACATTGAGGAGCATTCGCATGACATTTTGGTTAAGCATTACTCTTATTATACTGTAAATGATTTTCACAAGAGTTAGGACGCCCCCAAGTGGTCATTTTAGATACTACAAATTGTACTGGTTTCTGTGTTGAGGAAAAAAAAGCTGCCAAAAACAAGCAACATAAATATCTATTTACATTCTTATCTGTACTTAAGTAGAGGTACAGACACTTTAATAAAAATATACGGACTGATTAACTCTTGAATGTTAAACCAATCCTATCCTGTAATTTAATACAAGAGGAAAAAGTAAATTTTTGACAACTTGGAAAAAAAATGACAGAGTCGTGGCATTTCCATTCATTACCATTGGGAAAGATGATTTGAGAGCAGAGTTTTATGGATTATAAAATGACTTAAATTCGTATCTCGGGGCACCACTGTATTTTTGCTTCCTTGCCACTGTCTGTAAATAGTCCAAAACATTTACTAACCTTGAAATTGAACCTCAGAATATACAAACGTGATATTTCAGCCGATATTTCGGAGAGGACGATACGCTTGACCAGACAACCCTGTTCCCACGATGAACTTTTGACTGAAACCCATTTATACTGGCTTCCATGACAGCATTTTAAAGAGGCAAAGCATTTAAATGATACGTTGCCATGAAAGAGCAGCCCGCTCTGCCAAAATATTCTGAAATATTTGTGGGATTGCTGTGCTCTCTGCTCTGTACTTTTGTGGCGCATAGATGTGGGCCCAGTTTTACCAGAGAAGGCGGGGGGCGGTCTTCCACGGGCCGGTAGTAAGAGGAAAACTCAAAGGAAAAGAAAGAGGAAGGAATGAGAGAAGTCCTTTTCCCAGCCCTCCTCCGTTCGCATATGTTAGCAAGAGCAGACCCAGAAGACAAAGTCAGGATGTGACATCATGTGCAGGAAGAGAAACCACACGACTAGTTCAACTTTTTCTTGAGTTGTGCTTTACTGCGGAGTGAAGTTGGACGTCTGTTTGAGGCAGGGAGAGAGCAGGGGGGGAGATAAGGGGGAGGAGAAGGGGGTAAAGCAGCTGGGGAGCTGCCCTCCGAAATTCACTCCGGCCTCTCCCAAAGCTTTTGCCAACATTGTGGAGCCTCCGCTGTAGGACAGCAACCAGGTACAGTAGAAACAGCGTTTTTCCTTATTCTGTCCTTTTTGTCCTGGTCTTGCTTTATACCGGCAAGCCCGTGTTTTGGTTTCCGTCAGGCAAGCCTTGAATGGGTTTGTTTTTAGCGTGTGGCGTCAATAAACACCCGGGAAGTATGCGTGAGATGAGTGCATGATCAGACATGCTTCAGCTTGAGGCGACTGCAGGGGAGTAAAAGTTTTTGAGCCCACTTGTGTTTTGTCTTTTTTTAGCTATTATACTCGTGCACTAGTAAAGGGAGTTCATGTTTGTTGGGTTGATGTTTAAGTCTTCTCTGAAGCTCTTTTGTTATGGAGCTGTCTCATGACCGCATAGTCACACTGACACTCCCCCCCCCCCCACTGAACTGGTCGCGAGAGGAAGAAAAATGATCTCTTTTGCAGATCACACACACACACTCTCAGATCATTACGATGACATCATCTTTTTCCTGTTGAACTAGTTTCGGGGGGGAGTTTTCTGAAATGTTTTATCAGTGAGGTATGGACAACTTGTCACATTTGGACACTGACTTATTTGTGAACTCAAAAAGAAACTGAAACGTTTGTTAGTAATGGTCCAGAGAAGAACAACAGCAGGAATTGTATTGAGTGACTTTACACACAAATGTTGATGGTAGCGTTATGTTGCACCCAAGGTCACTTGACTACAGAGTCCAATCAGTGGAGGTCATGCTCTAATCCAAATGGAAAGTTCACCACAGACAGTATAAGGCCAAGACAGTTCACACACAAAAAAAGTGGCGTATTCCAAATGCCAAATCAAAATAATCAAATGTAATATGCTGTTTATTGAGGTTGTGTCTGCTTGATTAAAGTTTGACATTTATCAGAAGTCTTCAGCTTGATTGATTGCCAAATGGTACACATGCTTGCTTTGGTGGGTTAAATGACTGTGGCATATTGTTTTGTTTTTTTCAAAGCATTTTCACTCATCTTTCAAAACCCGCAAAATGTTGTGCTCTGTCACGATACAAGCATAGAACCTACCAAAACAAAATATGAACAGACTTATTTTTTTCCCGCCACAAAAAAAGTTTGTTTCAAGCTTTTTATTTAATTGGCAGTAGTACATGGTTGGTTTAACCACAAACACCAGTTTCTGACCAAACGCTTTAACACTAAAATGTTTTGATGCTTCAAATGCTTTCAAACTAGAATACGGCAAAATACTGAGTAATTGCAAAGAAAAAAAAACATGCTGTGAGTTCTATATGGTTGGCAGTTGACATCAGTGGCTTTATTACATGGTTATTACATTCCTCATTCACTCCACAAACTGTGTCATGTAACTTTAAATGTTTTTGTGCTTTACAGTAAACATCCAAGCATCTGCAGCCCGACTCGACTAGGCTTTTCTCCTCTTGAGACCTCATCCAGGCCAGAAACTGTCGCCTTCAAGACTATAAAACACTTATTCTGGAGAGTACAAACAGCTGAGGACATGGCTTTGTGTCTGGGTCAAGTGTTTAGCAAAGACAAAACGTTCCGACCTAGGAAACGCTTTGAACCCGGCACCCAGCGTTTCGAACTGTACAAGAAGGCCCAAGCCTCGCTCAAGTCCGGCCTTGACCTGAGGAAAGTGGTGCAGCTGCCCGAGGGCGAGAGCCTCAATGACTGGATCGCCATGCACGTGGTGGATTTCTTTAACAGAATCAACCTGATCTACGGCACGGTCAGCGAGTACTGCACCGAACGCACCTGTCCTATTATGTCCGGGGGCCTCCGGTACGAGTACAGGTGGCAGGACGGCGACGACTACAGGAAACCCACCAAGCTGCCAGCTCTCAAGTACATGAACCTGATGATGGACTGGATAGAGTCGCTTATCAACGATGAGGAAATCTTCCCCACCAGAATAGGTGCGTGAGAACTCCCTTACACGATGTGTGTATTATAACTGTTTCATGAAGCTTCATTAATGTGCTGCAGATTCAAATGAGGTTAATTGAACCATGAGCCTGACATTTAGACACTATCAAATTTGTCGCATCAACAGACGTAACAAATAGCTGAACTGCATTCAATATCAGGCTTGATGATATATTGTCACGACGAAATAGCCCCGCATTTAATCCGTCCGTTTTCTTTAGAGCTGGAGCTGAGCTCAGATGACTTTGTGCAAGATGCAGCTTACACCCTGGACTGGTGGCGAGTCAACCACGGGGTACATATAGACAAGCAACAAGTCACACTTACAGCTCTGCACATTTCAGTTTATCTAAAATTACTGTTTTGGGAATGCGGAGGCCATGGAACTCAGAGAAGACCTACGCAAAACACGAGTACAACATGCAAGCTCCATACAGGAAGCCTGTAACCAAGATTTAAACCCACAACCTCTCAAATGTGGTCGACATGCTAACCACTTGACTATCCCGCTGCCCGATTGAGTCCTATTAAGAAAATTATCCCTTTTACAGAGAGGTCATAGTTCCCCGAAATCCCCGAATGAACATATTTTTTTCATCCCCACTACAGGTGTTCCTTTTCCGAAGAATTTCCAGCAGGTGTGCAAAAAGATCCTGAGCCGACTCTTCAGGGTGTTTGTGCACGTTTACATCCATCACTTTGATAGCATTTGCAGCATGGGCGCCGAGGCCCACATCAATACCTGCTACAAGCACTACTACTTCTTCATTTCGGAGTTCAACCTCATCGACCACTCTGAACTTGAGCCCCTGGTGAGGCATGAGCGTGACCTTGACCTTGTGTTATGTGATCAATCAAAATGCCATTGTCAAATGTCTGGAATCGTGAAGCATGTAATGAGACTGATATAAAATCCATCACATTGGGCTTTCATTATTGTCAATCTTAGGCTGTGTAATAATTAGGGATGTGAAATAAAATCAGGAACCTCTTATATGTATATATATGTATGTGATCCTGTGTTTTGTTGTCCTACAGAAGGAGATGACCGAGAAGATTTGCAATTAAACTAGAGCTGAAGAAGACAAAATGCCACCTTCAATGGACTCTCAACTAAGAACTTTTCACATTAATGTGTAACATGTTACAATGTGAGCGGTGTGAGTGAATGTCACTGTGAATTTAATTTTTTTGTTTACGATCCAACCCCACTTTTTCAGGTGGTGTCAAGATGTGTGTTACTCATGGTAACAATGGTGCTGTTTTTATTTGAATCTGAGGTGGTTAATGATTTCCTCTGTCTTTCCTCCCGTCTTTCATCCTGTGCATGTATTTATGGTTGTCCTTTTATAGGCTATTTTAAGCTTTTTGGACTTTTATTGAGTAAAATATTGTATTTTAGAAGTTTTTTGAAACTCTGAGTTAGGGTCCAGCTGAAAGGGAAAGAATAAATATGAATAAAGGGAAGTTTGGTTACCTTCAGGTACTCTGGCTTCTTCCATCTATCCATTAATTTTCTAATCTGTTTATCCACACAAAGGTTGCGGGCATGCTGGTGCCGATCTGAGCTGTCTTTGGGCAGTAGACGGGCTACACTCTGAACTGGTTGCCAACCAATCTCCCGGCATACATAGACAAACAACCATCCACCCTCACACTCACACTTACGGACAAATCAGAGTGCCCAATCAGCCTGCCATGCATGTTTTTGGAATGTGGGAGGAAACTGGAGTACCCGGAGAAAACCCACGCAGGCACAGGGAGAACATGCAAACTCCCCACAGGAAGGCTGGAGCCGGAATCAAAACCCTGCACCTCTGCACTGTGAGGCTTCGCTGCTAACCCTCCACCCCTCTGGCTTCTTCCTTCATTTAAAAAAGTGTGAATTTGGTTATGTTTCTTTCTATTGGGCAGGTCTCAAATAATCAGATTATTTAAAAAAAAAAACACCACTAGTACCCGTAGTGAAAATCCTATTCTATCTGCACTATGTTGTAAACTTTTCTCCACTGTAAGGGCTCCCCTGACTTAAAACACTTGACAATAATATTCATATTGCGACCATTACAAAGCATGTACATGCTCATTCAACAAAATTAGTTTAAAATGATTATTTCGTGTAAATGACTGGCAATGAAAGGTATAAAGAGAGGGGAAAATACCCTCTGAGGTTCACCACACAGATTAAAACATGCCTAATACTGTATAAAGATGTAGAAAGACTGTTTAGACAGACACGTTTTTATCAGGGAAATTAGGCTGTCAAAACTTCTCAGCAACATTCACAATTATAAACAAAGTTTTTATTTATTCTCATTCAACGTTTGTTTGGTGTGTGATTCACCACCGACAGTAAAATGACAAGCTATGAAAGGCATAAAGAAGTAAAGAAAAACTAAAATAAATACAACCACCTGGATAAAAACATTCCCGACAGCGTACAGAGGCGTGCTGAATTACGTCACGTGACGTAGTCGCATACAACCAATAGGAGAAGAGCATACGAGAACGTAGGCGTGGTGATATATTTTCGTGTGGTTGCCCGCTGGGCGCGTCAGTGGTGAACTGGTTTTGATGGCTTTCGACTAGCGATGGGATCTTACATCATCTCTCGAAGACTCTAACCGGCGGGGATTTGGCCAGTTCGGAGAATGTTCAGGTTACCGGACCGCTTCATGTCTAATATTTGGCTTGTACGGCACCCGGATGATCTTTAAAATACGTAGGGACGGCATGAATAGCAGTCGGACGGGGCTTTACAGTTCTGTGCTAGGCTAACCAGCAAGCTGTGGCTAACGCTGACAACACAACGTCGTTTGTGTGTGTGTGTGTTTTTTTTAAATTTAATAAATAGCGACTTTCTTTGACCAAGCGAGTGTTGAGAAGCAAATTTACTGCAACGAAAGTCAAATATCAGTGTTGACGTTCGTACCTGTTGACGATGCCGTGACTGTCAATGACGTCAGGACCTGGTTTGGATTTGCTAACGTCGGCTCGCAATTGGATTTCGGACTGATGTATCCTGTGAAGGCCATTTATTTATATAAGGTTTCTCTCAGAGGTCTGACGAAGCGATTTCGATGGTTAAAATGCAAAATGAAATAGATACAACATATAGTTTGGTAACACGTGAATTATTATTAGTTTACAGCATAACGTCATTTTTAGCGCTTAGTTTAATGACTTGAAGTGACACGACACTATCATTAATAAAATGACTGAGTTACGACTGAAGAATTCTTTACGTGCAACCAAAGAACCAATCCCACTGTGAGGCACTGGTTTGACACGTGAACTGAAATTCTTGACTGTCATCTTATCTTGTTCTGGCGTCTGAGTAAGTTTCAGCAGATGCGGGCCATTCCAGGTCAACTAAATATTTGTAATGTTCCCTCAGTTAGCAGCTATGGTGAGGCACAGCGTGATGACGGAGTTGCATGTCTTCCAGCATTCGCTCCAGGTATGATCTGTCACCTTGTTGATGTGAAACATCCGCTTATCACTGCCCTGACTTGTCAGCCTTATCTACCCTTACATACAAACGTTCTATCGCTCTCAGTGAGTCATGTACTCTGGCTGGATTTGTAGATACTTGTGATAATAGCCGATAAGGTTAGCATATTGTAGACTAACCGCAAGCTACTGCTCTGGCAGGTTGCCTTACAGGAGCTGTGCAATAAATAGCTTTATTACAGTCTACTGTCTAAGGTTGAACGCAGTTTGATTTTGGAGGTTTTTCATTAAATCAAGTTGCGACGTTTTCCAATTGGAAATAAGTCAACCAAGACTGTGAAATAAAAGTGGAAGCTCATGCATTTCCTCTTCTACTTTCTCAGCAGAGTCAGCACTTGATTTTACACCACTCTTGCACATTTCCTGTCTGTTCCAGGGCAACTCCCTGGCTCTGGGCCAAGTAGGGCAGTGTTATGGGGAACAGCAGCAGCAGCAGAATGGGATCGTTTCAGATGACAGGCAGCACATCGCTCAAGTCCCTGCAGGTATGTCAGCCCTATTGCGCAATGCGGCGGACACGTTTTCAAATGTCTTCATGTGTTGTTTTCCTCATGTGCCGCATCAGAAGTTGAGAAAAGCCAGCCTGTGAACATCCCAGATGCTGCCAAGCGAAAAAAGAAGAAAAGATCAAGAGCGACCAACAGCTCCACTGGCACTTTTGATGGTCATTACGGCAGGATTTGAATATGACTCATTGCCATATGCGTTTATTGTATTCATTCATGTATTCATATGTATCCATTTTAGACCTCTATAAGCTGACGGATGAGGTGCTTGGCCAGGGGGCTTGTGCCAAAGTCCAAGGATGCGTCAGCTTGCAGAACGGGCAGGAGTATGCAGTAAAGGTGACATTCAAAATTAGTTTGTATCAAAAGGGCAATGTGAGACATTTTGAGATGGGATGAAGTATTTCAAGGATGATATTGTCTCGAAGCAAACCAGGCAGATAGTTGCATAACATGGCAGTGAAATGTATATTTTTTTGGTCTGTCATACAGATCATCGAAAAGAGTGCGGGTCACAGCCGCCGCCGAGTCTTCCGAGAAGTGGAGACGCTTTACCAGTGTCAAGGAAACAGGTGAGCGAATTAATGTCGTGTTTGAAAGACATTCCATGAAATAACTACAAATGATGTGAACCGAAACTAAATTGGTGATCTTTTGACTCAGGAACATTCTGGAACTGATCGAGTTCTTTGAAGACGACACCTGCTTTTATTTGGTGTTTGAGAAGTTGCGAGGAGGTGAGCCAAAAGAACAGCGGCCATTGTGTCTGCACGAGCTGCGACACACACCCACGCAATGTGATTGTTTCATGTCCCAAGGGTCCATTCTTACGCACATCCAGAACAGGAAGCACTTTGATGAGCTGGAGGCTAGCAAGGTGGTCCGTGACATCGCCCAAGCGCTTGACTTTCTACACACAAAGGGTAAGACACCTTCTTGTCCAATCTACCCAGATCCAGCTGACAGTCCTAGTTGTCATGGTAACAGTCCGTTGTCTTTACAGGTATTGCTCACAGGGACCTCAAACTGGATAACGTCCTTTGTGAACACACTGATCAAGTAAGCCAGGCTCCAAACCGGCGCTTGAAATTTTGGTTTGAATAAATGCTTTACCCCTAACAAAAAAAAAAAAAAAGTGGATTGGCCACAGCTGTGATGTGCTGCTTGCTTGAAAATAGATCCTAAAAAGGGCCTAAATTTGACTATGTAGTCCGAGCATGTCAAACTTATTTTTGTCGCGGGCCACTTCGGAGTTACGTCTTCCCTCGGAGGGCCGTTTTGAAAGTGATACCACAAAAATGTTTCATTGTCTCATCGTGTTATCACTTGTACACAACAAGTGAACAGATTACTAGTTTTGAAATCAGTCAAGTCACCAGTTGTAGTTTGTTCAGTTACAGGGTCGGAAAATTATTGGAAACTCTCCACGCTATTTATTGCATATGACAATTTGACCTTTTGGTCGAGACTTTAGAAAGAATCATGCCAGCTGACGCAAACAATTTTTTTTCGCGGGCCACACAAAATAAGATGCCGGGCTGGCTTTGGCCCCCAGGCCTTGAGTTTGCCACCCGTGATGTAGACCATTCCATTCCTTCAGGAACCCTCCATCTGTCTCTCTCCAGGTGTCACCGGTAAAGATCTGCGACTTTGACCTGGGAAGCGGCATGCAGCTCAGCAGCGCCTGCACACCGATAACTACTCCCGAACTCACCACGCCGGTAAGATTTGCAGTTCGTGATTCCACCCACTGTGTTACGGCACTTTTGTGGACCATGAGAGATGATCAAGTGTACCACAGGAAATTATCTAATCTCACTTAATGGGTCCAAACATTTTACATATGAGTAAGAATGTCTCTTAGTTCATCTATGATGGTGATGTAGAGTGATAGGCCGGACAATTAAATGTTCTCCCACTAGGTGGCAGAAGGTACAATTAACCTGCCAGTCGACTACCGTATGTTCAGTCAAGGTAGAGAAACACTGGTTGCAATCTGTAAATTCTTTTGCTTGTCACTAAAATGCTACAAACTTCTGGTCATTTGCTCTCTCCCTTTATTTTTATTATTATTTTTTTTTTATTTTATTTTTTTTTAGTGTGGCTCAGCAGAATACATGGCTCCAGAAGTGGTGGAGGTTTTCACAGACGAGGCATCCTTCTATGACAAACGCTGCGACTTGTGGAGCCTCGGGGTCATTCTCTACATCCTGTTAAGCGGCAGCCCCCCCTTCACGGGCCACTGCGGCAGCGACTGCGGGTGGGACCGGGGGGAAACATGCCGCACGTGCCAGGTACTGAGACTCGACAATTATGTGGCCTCGAACATGACACTTCCACGTATTGTTAGACTCTCAGCATAGTTGCTGAATTCATATTTAAATGTTTTCGTAAAAGAAAGAAAGACGTTGAACTCTGTTTACTTGTATAACAGTGAGCAGTGTGAAAATATCACTTAAAACATTGTCTTTAGAGTTATAAATATTTGAATGATGTACTATATACTATACATGTACACACAAATAACTAATTACACCGGTCCAACAAATAAGTCCATTATTCAAATGTAGCAGAGTGTACAGCATTTATTTCCTTTCCCTGCCATTTTTATGCAGATTTGTGCTTGATTTATTGCGCCTCGCCTGTCACTGCGCGGTTTCCAACAGGTTGTAAGAACGTTAAAAGGCGAAGGGCGTTCATCACTTTTCTCCTCCGTCATCACCTGATCATCACCTGACTAAACCTCACGCTCCCATCAGGCGACGTTCACGTGCGGTCGCAATGAGGTCACGTTAAAAAAATTGAACGCAATCGCAGTAGGAACATGAAGCTAGCGTGCTGAAAATGTCGCCTCCGTTCTAGAATGCATGACGCATGTCGAGTTAAGACACCATGTAACATACCGTACGCTTGCAGAGTCACCTGTTCGAGAGCATCCAGCAGGGCAAATACGAGTTTCCAGACAAGGACTGGGCTCACATCACAGATGCCGCCAAAGATCTTATCAGCAAGTTGCTGGTACGAGATGCCACTCTGCGCCTCAGTGCCGCTCAGGTCCTCAAGCACCCGTGGGTGCAGGGGGTAGGTTATTTTTATTTATTTTATTTTTTTGCATGGGAAATGATTGTCAGGTCCTCAAGCACCCGTGGGTGCAGGGGGTAGGTTTTTTTTTTTTTTTTTGCCATGCTAAATGATTGTCGACTTGTATTTCACATTGCTTTACCTCCCTCTTGCACAGAATGCACCAGAGAGAGGTCTTCCAACACCTCATGCCCTACAGAGGTAAGACGGAAAGTCATAAAACCACTGAAATAGATACCATGGGAAGTGAGAATGAAATCTGACAAGGTTTACTTATATGACAAGTTTCCCTAACTTTTATGTTAAGACGAGTCGATGGCCTGTGTGAGCAAAGCTACTCCCTTCACTTTAACTTTGGGATGTTCCTAGGCACCAAAATAGCGCCAAAGTAATACTTTTATATTAGACAGGGCGCAAAAAAAGAGTATGATAGCTTAATGCGCATGGACCAAAATCCACCTTCAGCAACCCGCTCCAAAAATCAAACTCTGCCGCAACAGCTCAGCAAACATCGTGGAAGAGTGTGGCCAGCATTTTTTCTTTTAAAATGAGTGGAACATGAGCGTTAAAATCGTTCTTTTATGTTGACACTCAAGTCAAAAAAACATCTCTGAAGCGTTTTGTACGTCGACATCGTAGGAACAGCAGCACCAAAGACCTGAGCCAGTTTGCGGCCGAAGCCATCGCCTTCCACCGGCAGCTGTCGCAGCACGACGAGCAGCAGCAAAAGGAGGAAGAAGACGAAGAGGTGTGCCCCGTTGTCATTTGCTCCATGAGGCTCTCTCCACCGTCCAACTCTAGACTGGCTCGCAGGAGGGCGCGGTCCAACGCCCTGCGCGGCCGAGACGGCAC